AAGCCCTACAGATATGTGAATTATGCTAAACCTGGTATGCTTTAACACATTACAATTTGAAAGACTATTGTTTCTCATCATCTGATTCAGTATCATTTTTCTGTTGCTATTTAAATAGCAAATGGACACAATTCAGACCGAAAAAGAAAAGGAAAAAGGTTCAGTGCTGCATTCAGTCTCAGCTACAATCTCTTGAATCCTACAACTAATTTACCAGCAAAACTACTTTTTACTCAACCTATCATGACTTAAGACTACAAAACCACAGTCAAAACAGGGTGAGCCATCAGAAAAGCAGGCACAACACAATTCTTAAACATTCAGTCAGAGGTAGTTGCCTGAAATTAGAGGTGGCAGCTGCTTCCTTACAAGTACAATAAAAGTGTATATACAGACATTTATCAAGGGGTTCAAGAAAAAAGGGAATAAAATAAAGATAGAAATGGCTACTTAATTTCTTAAGTGGCTCAGAACACCAAAAAAGCCGGGATTAATGTATTGGTCTTTATTATCAAGCAATAGAAGAGCATGAGATACTATGATCATAGGTTATGAAATGTAACAAGTACTGGGATCACACAACAAACTCTTCTCAAAATTTCTTTCTCAACTATATTTCAATTCTTCGCTACCGATTCATGACCAAAATATATTTCACACTTAAAGTATGTCATTGTTTTCATCATGTTGTTGAGGGAAAAAGCAACTGAGTCATGAAATTGACTAAAATCCCATAGCAAATACCCATCTAATATCCCACAGGCCCAAGTATGAAAGTCTTGAAATTCAAAACGAGAGGGAAAAATTCCCATAGAATATATACTAAATTCAGCAGTTCTTTACACTTCGAATTTATGACTCCAGAAACTAGCTGACAATGATGGTATCACATCACAGTCCCTCACACCTAATTATTCAAGTGGTTTCCAAAATCCAACATTCAATCACTGCAACGAGTTTCATCTCACACCACAAAACTCATCAAAAAACTTCAAGCAATGTGACCATCAAGAACCCAATTTCACACATGGAGATCATCCTTTTAATCCATATAATTATATATCTCAGTAGCAACAACAGTGTCATACATTAGTAAAAACGAGCAAATCAATCCTCTTAGTCTCCAAAAAAAAGGTGAATTTAGACTAGAAAAAGTAAAACTCAGCGAAGATAACCAGGTATCTTAATGCGAACAAAGAGCATACTCATAACATAGGAGATCACGACGAACGTGACCCCAGCCGTGGCATACGATACCTTGACACTCTTGGCACGATTCTTGTCAAGCGCCAGATCCAGCATCACGATCCCAAGCCCGCCGAGCACGAACATGAACCCGGACGAGAGGCCCTCGATAATGTACTGCCCGTTGACCCGGCCAGAGAGGAAGACGACGGGCCGGACGGCCCCGGTGTACGGATCCTGAGTGGATCCGATGCCGGGTGGCTCGACGATGACGTCGTAGACAATGCCGGAGACGACCATGAAGTAGGTGAGGAGGATGAGGGCGTAGACTGTCATGGGGGAGGGGAGGGTGAAGCTGGGCAGCTTCAGGCGGAGGCGCGGGGGGCGGAGGAAGGAGAAGGGGAGGATCCGGACGGCGTGGAAGAGGGGGTCGATGGATCCCGACGACGGATCGGGTTGGGATGCGGCGGCTGACATTTTTGCCGGTAGAAGGAGGTGGGAGGACAGCTGATCTGATGGATGGATCTACGGAGAAATTGGGGCTTGGGTCAAGGTAGTGGGCTTTCACTTGATTTTCACCTCACTAATAGAGAGGGTGTGTTATTGTATTTGTTTGAATTTTAAAAGACATTTTAAGATTTTTTAAAATTTTAAGAATTTCAAGAGGATCATTGAAAATAACGAAATGTATTCTTTTAAGAGATACTACTTCGTACCCGTGCGATGAGACAGAAATATTAAATAAATTATTTTACAGGCTTTGTCCGTTAATTATCTAAAACAATAGGACTATTATCTATTTTCCATCTCTTTTAATCAACGTTATGTGTAATAAACAATAAGGTTACAATCTATTTTTCACCTCTTTTAATCAGTGTTGTCTTCTTAGTCAAAACATTAAATATGAGCATGTTAGGGCTAGCTTGTAAAATAATTAATATATTATCTCACTAACACATTTATACTAATATAAATTTGATTTTACTATATATATTTATTCCTTGATATAAGAAAGAATAACAATTTTACTTATTCGTGTTCATCATATAATACTTAATTATAATTTTATTATAAACTAGTTGTCATATGATGTCATTATTATTTATAAAGTTAAGTTATAGAAGTTGTACTCTTCTTTTTCTTTTTATTTTATGTAATGAAAAATATTTAATGCACGTTAGGATTATTTATTTATGTAATCAATTTAAAATATGTAAATAAATTTAAAATTAAATAGTGTATAAATATTTTACAAAATATACACATGTTTTTTTAGAATTTCATAATTATTTTTGGATAAAAAGTGAATATTTGTGAAAAAAAATTAATATTATGGTTAGAACTTAAAATACGGTGGAATATTTATCTTGACCAAAATATTATCAACATAATCATGGAAATCAATCTTGTAATTTATTATAATGAATATCAATGAAAGTATTACAAATATTAATAAATAATATTTATCTTTACCAAATTATTATCAATATGAATCACGGAAAATCAATCTTGTAATTTATTATAATGAATATCAATTATTATTTAAGTAATTTTTTTTTAATATATTTTATTTGATCTTATTTGAAACGTGTATATAGAAGCAATTAATGCATATATTTAAAAAGTTTCCAAAAATGGTATGCATTAAATGTTTCCTAAATTTTTGGCTACTATTTTTAGTAAATGATAATTCTTATTNATTTTAAAATTTTTTGAAATTTAAAATTTTTTGAAGACTTTAAAATTGAAGAGGAATTTTTGTATATTTTAAGTTGGAGGAGGAATTTTGGTTGGAGTGAGATTTGTATAAGGTTTTTTAGTTTATGAAATCTCAACAAAGATTAAAAAGTCTTTGCGTGTCAAATAAGTTAAATATATCATGATTCGTTAAAATTTTTTTAAATCTCAAATGAACATCTCAGGACTTTTAAAAGTCTTAAAAAATTCAAATTAATAAAAATACAACAGGATTCTTAGGACGTGATTGACTACATTTCAAATCGTGTTTGACCACATTTAAAATTGTGTTTGACCAATCGAATAATTGTTTTACACTGTTTAACTTAAAATTCAACTCAAATTTAATGCAACACAACTCCCCTTAATATTATCAATGTAATTAAATAATACCAATCAATCATCCTCACACATCATATTAACTTTAATTCATTATTCATCTACTCACATATTTTTAACTACATATCATTTTCAACAACTTCTTTAAAGTCCCACAAATATTTAAGAATCCCAAATGAATACAACCCATAAATTTGGAGGTGAATTCATATTAGGTTTTTGTTTTTAAAATCTTAGCAAATCTTAAAAACTCTTGGTAAATCTCAACATCAAATAAGTTAAATACCTCGTAACTTGTTAAGACTTTTTGAAATATATACATCGGGTCTTTTAAAAGTCTTAAAATGTTCAAATTAAATACCCGTTCTAGCAGAAAGGTGTTTGCTGGGCACCTACAACACCGCTGTGGTGGCCTCCCAGGCCTATGAGTCCAAGCGACTTGAGTTTGAGGCTGCTGCCATTTTCCCGCAAACGGCCTCCAGTCAACGAGCGTCGATGTCGGCAATCGATCAAATAAATTAATTTATTTTTAATACAACAATAATAATTATTTGTTATATAATTAATGTAATTATAATTGATTTATATGAGGCAGTGATCTATTCAAAATCAAAAGCTAGGATTGAATTGCACATACTTAATTTAACAAGTGGACTCATTAGATCCACCCCATCTATACACGTATATGTATATGAATGTATTAGTTTGGCCCGCATAAAGACCTTAATCATTACTTAATACTCAGAAGCATTGTTACTTATAGTGAACATTGAACAACACCAACGACAAGAACTTATAATCGCGGCCGAGAAGAAATCTACTGGCACCCCTAGAGATAAAAGCAGGCGGTTAAGCATTCTACTCCGTACATTAGGGCTTCCCTATTCATTGCGGATTGGTTATTCGTCATACCGGCTTACCTTATGAACTAAAGAAATTCAATAAAACGGAATTAATCTTCACGATCTAGCCAAAAGATAGCATTAGAAAGAACATAAAAACAATTGTGCTTGACAACTGAAAACATGAGGACTAATTATGCCCTCCTAACAAGATTTTGTCATCTCACAAACATCTAATATCCAAACTTCAATTCAAAACCAAACACATCACCCAAACCAAAACGCAAATTAACCCAACCATGAAAAGTAAAAAAGAGCCACACCATTAAACTACACAAAAATTTACAAAATGCAATTTCACTCACACCTANAGTTCTTCCAAACCTCCCGATAGCCAATTATTCGACTTAATCCAAACCCAACACGACCTCATCTCATCTAGAGAAATACGATTTTGGCGATAAAATCCTCTTAGGCGAGAACATCCCCGCGTACCTAGGCGAAGCCAACCCGTCGACACTCCTATAGCTCGGCATAATGTACGCCTCCCTCTCGTCCACCGCCCGCACGTTCACGCCTCTACCAAACGTCCCGCACTTTGTCAACTTCCCGAACCACGACTCCCTCTTCGTCGTCAACCTCCCGTTTATCTTGTCGCACAAGTAACCCTTCACCGCGTCCAACCCCCGCCCGACGACCTCCGCCGGTGGCGAAACGAGCGGGTTTCCCTCCACGCAAAGCTTCTCAAGCTTGTTGAGGCAGCCAACCGAGGGGGGCAAAATTGTAATTCTGTTGTAGCTGACGTCCAGCTCGACAAGGGAAATGAGGAGGCCGACCGAGTAAGGGAGGGACGTGAGGTGTTGGAAGTTCTGGCTGACGTTTAGGGTTTGGAGGTTGATGAGATTTTCGAGGTCGTCGGGTAGGGCTCGGAGGGAGTTGAGACGGGCGTCGAGGGTTCGGAGGTTGGTTAGGTGGGAGATGGAGTCGGGGAGGTAAGGGAGCTTGTTCGAGTTGATCGAGAGTTTCTTGAGGTTGACCAGCTCGAAACCGATGGTCGCCGGAAGGTGGCTCAGCTGGTTGAAGTTGGCATTCAGCTCCTCAAGTGATCTGCAAACCTCATTTTTAGTACACTATATTGGTCTAGGAGTGGATTCTAGAAAATATTCACTAACCATTCAAATCAAAATCTAAGAGCGCCATTTTTAGTACACTATTGGTCATTTTAAAAAAAAAAAAAAGTCCATCATATAGAGCGTCATCAAGAATTGTCCACTGAGTGTCTACTTTAATCAAAACTCGTACTATAGCCAACTTAGTGTACTAAAAATGACATCTACAAATGATAACTTTCAGTATACTATATTGGTTATTGTACAGATTTTTATTAAAGTGACAACTTAGTAGACCATTCTTGATGACGTCTTATATAATGGATTTTTTTCGAAAAATAGTTAATGAACCGTTTTTTAAATTTTGTCCGTGAATTAATGAACATAAGTAGTTCTTGCATTTTTTGGGCTTATTTTGCTCGATTTTTATTGGGTTAGTGTTTATAATTTAAAATTGCAAAAGTGCAAAAGTTATTGAACAAATTTAGCATCTATCTACCTCAAATTACTGGATGTATTTTCATAATACTTTTACCAAATACTGTCTGACAACTTTTAAATAATATTTTGTGTGTGTCCATCTAATTTGATTCTATTTCCTTGAAGAATGATGTACTTATGTTAGGAGTTTTTAGTTAGAGTTCCCGAATAGAAGAGTTGTGCCAACAATCCAACAAAACAAAAACAACCCCCACCCTCCCGGTTGTTGTTGTTTTAAAAAATAAAAAATTAAAAAAAAAATCCAACAAAATAATTAATTTTAATGGATTCCTGGTACACCCCTTTTTTTAGGGTGTTTGTTAATTTAGCTAAAGGTCATATCGATTGTTTTTGTAACAAACAAATTGATAATAAAAAATTGTTTTAATGGATTATAATTTATGCAATGAGAAGGATAAGTGCAATTAGCTGGCTGGACAATTATTTTATGGATTAGGTGACTGATCATATATTGTACGTATTTGAGAAGTTGACTTTAGTTCTGTCTTCAGTAATAACCACTTGAATCATTGAGATATGCTGAGATATTTTTTTGACCAAAAACAACACACTAGCAAATTTCATTAATATATAATTAACAGTTTGAGGCCCATGGTTTTTCCTTAATTAAAATAAAAATCTTTTGTAGTTATAAGTACGGAAAATGATATGTTACAGAATCATTAATCATTAATTAATTTGCATGTATAATTAAGCAAAAATTTATGAGTCTAATGACAAATTATTAATTACCTGCAGTTTTCAATGGTCCTAGGAAGTGACTGCAAAAAATTGCCCGATACATTCAAAATCTTGAGCTTCGACAAGCAACCAATGGAGTTTGGGAGAGACTTTAGCTGGTTCGAATGCACGTCCAATACGATGACGTTTAGGAGCCTTGCTGTCAAGGACTCTGGGATATTCTGCCCAACAAAAAATTCAAAAATATAACTAATTAACATTGTAATTGTACTATGTTTTCTTTGAACACTAATTTAGCATGAATTGTACGAAAAATTCGACTCGAACACCTAATTATTTCAATTTCATTAGCACGCTTTTGCTTATCATCATTTTTTAATATATAGTGATATTAAATATTATAGTTTGGGAAATACGTACAGTACTATATTCTTCACAAGATTATTGCAACTATTGAAACACACTTTTAGCAAGTTGATGAAGTTTCCTGAAAACTCAAGCGAAATACTTTAAATATATTTGTATTTTAAGGTTTTAATTATGTCACGGGTTCATGTAATAAACATGGCAGAAACTTCCTGGAAATTACCAGTTTAGGCAATAATCAGATAATTGAAAGTCCAGGCAATTATAACAATTATTTGGCCAAAATCGTCTTCCCAAAATTAAAAATCAATTAAACCAATAGCAAAAAAATAAAAATAAAAAACTACTAAATTTCCAGAAATTCGTGAACAAAAAAAAAAAATTGAAATAAGAATCATGAAAAGTAAAAATTTAAGATACTCAGATGCAAAGTTCCACAGATTTGACAGCACACGGAGCAATAAAAATCAATCATACAAGTCATGGAAAAACAGATTGTAAACTGCAATAGAATGAAATGAAAAGGGAAACAAAAAGCCAAATTATTAAAAATAATTAAAATTACCTGGAGATTGTTATTTGAGAGGTCTAATCTGGCAATGGCTGCTAAATTGAGAGGGGGATTAGGCAACACGTTCAAAGACATCCCACTCAAATCCACGTTTTTCTCATCCTCATCGTCTTCTTGATCAATCCCCGTTTTGCCCCTCTTATTATCCATATGCATCTGCCTCTTATTTTTCCTACTATTATTATTACCATATTCATTGTTCAACCTCATCACTTGTTGTTCATACATCATCTTCACGCACAAAGTCTTAACTTTCAAACCAATCTAAATTAAAGAAACACCTGTTTTTCTTAATATTTTTTTTTCTTTTTCTTTTTTCTTTATTTTTTTTTATTTGTATGTATAGAGGGTATCTAATATTATAGCACACGAATAAAACTCGTTAAAATGTGTGAATCTAAGTTGAGTATATATAGACCGAGAGAGAGGAAAGAAAATGTAGAGAGAGAAAGAGAGAGAGAGGGTGTGTGCGAGGATGTACGGAGGGGAAGAACGTGAAAGTACAAAAGTCCGTATATTGCGTAACGGACTGTTACCTGCTCCGTAAAAAGTCAACGCTTCGGTTACTTGTGCTACCCGCCATTTGCGCCACCATTTTTTTTGTTTTTATTTTTATTTTATTCTTTTAATCTCCACTATGATATTATGCAACAATTTTGCTATGGAGTCGTCGGATCACTCGACTTATGAGCCATCTACACTCATTCACTAATAGTGTATTGACACGTGTCCTGTAATAAATATGGACATGTGTCAATACATTAAGTAATGGATGACTACATAAGAAACACCAATAGTGTATTGACATGTGTCCGACAATAAATACAATTTGAACATGTGTCAATACATTAAGTGGTGGATAAGTACATAAGAAACACCAATAATGTATTGATACATGTCGTGCAATAAATATAATTTGGACATGTGTCAATACATTAAGTGGTAGATAACTACATAAGAAACATAGTGTATTGACACGTGTCCTGCAATAAATACAATTTGGATATGTGTCAATACATTAAGTGATGGATGGCTACATAAGAAACACCAATAGTGTATTGACACCTGTCCTGCAATAAGTGCCCTGCAATAAATACACTTTAGACATGTGTCAATAGGTGGATGACTTTATAAAAAAATAATCCGATAACTCCATAGAATTTTTGTATTATGCAATTATAAAATTGCATAATATATATTTGATACTGTTTATTTATATATTTCTGCCTTCTTTTGCTAATTACGGTGGGCGTTCATGTGCGCACAATTGACTGTCTCCATTTCTTTTTCTATTTATGGAGGAATTAAATAATTATCTTGATTTTATTTTGTCACGAGTACTATAGAACAATAGATGTTTTTTTATTTTTTTTTTCCCTTTTTTGCGCGCAAATGAAAATAGAAATGATACATGGTTTGTTAATCGTAATTTGTGACACCCTACACTAATGAATTTTAAAAATGCTATCACCGACACAAATATTTTTATGTGAGACGTCTTAATTGTTAGATAGGTCGACTCGTTATATTTTATAAACAAAAATGAATATTTAAACCATTAAATGTCATACTTTGTATATTTTTTTAATGTTTTAGTTAAAGTATGTCATTTTTATAAGAGAGTGTATATTTTGAAAAGAGTATATCGGCCTAATACAAGATTTGCCATTAGCATTATGTCAAGCATTATGTTTATTATAACTAAATGCGTAGTGAACCCCGTGCACATCGCTTCATTCTCTATGCTTGAGTTGTATTGTTTGTAATTAATTTGATACGTGGACCCAAATCTATATATATAATTTATGGCAAATTAATTAATAAAAATGATTTGGTTAATTTCTCTCCAATTTCGGTTGTAAATTCTATTCTTAATATTTTTTTTTTCACTTTTTTCAATTTTATCCAAGCACTATAATAAATATTATACAACTTTTATAGTTAATGATAGTTTTAATCGTCTTAAATAAATTTGGTCACTTGAGTTTTTTACACACTTAACTATATTTTATATTATTTCATTTTTAATTCTTAGTTTGAAACATATATTACTAAATTTAATCCGATAGAATTAATTTTATACAATTCAATTTTTTAGTTTCAGAGTTTTATTTTATATTTTGAAAATGTGTAAATGTAATATACAGTAATGCTTTATTATAAATAAAATACTAAATTAATTATATAACAAATAAAAAAAGCTTCAGTTATCTCTTCCAATGGAAAATGTAGAGGCAATCTGTTCCAAAGGGAATCGGGTAGATCGTATGATTAGACTGTCTAACAAGACAGACTAATTGATAAAAATGAATATAACTAAGATAATAACAACACGTGTATTGGGCCACGTGACCTAACAAAATCAGACAGTTTTGGCACCTGGGCAGGAATCGACAGTCTTGGATAACAAGATAACACCCTATTATGTCTTTTTATACTTTACACACTCTAATATACATACAAACTATATACAGTGTTTACTGACTTGACCGTCGAAGTTCTATGACGGGACAATCCCCGACACTGTTTTGCAGGTCTTTAACTGAGAACGGATCCAAAGTCTTTCAAGCCGATCGAGGTCATTTATACTACCACTAAGACTTTTCAATAAAAATAATTTTGGGTTCAATGCAATGGCGCAGATATAATGCTCGGTAGGCAATGATAAAGTTTTTGAATACTTGTGAATTTATGGAGGAAAAAAGGTTGTGGAAACTTCAGGTTCTCAATTGTCATAATTTTTAAGTAAGAATATTTACAGTGCGTTTATAATGCCTGAAAATCTGGTACAGAAGAAAGTGTGTAGAATAAGTTCTTGCGTTGTGCGCATAAGAGATCAACTCTTTAATTTTAAATTCCATAAAAAATATATGAAGTATTGTTGCATATATAGTCTAATAATCAATATAAGCACATATATAAACATCTAATGTTATAGAGACCATTACTTCTGCAAAGTTTATGTAATTTCCTAATTTTCTCCTTTTTTTTTCTTATTCTTCAGTCGACTCTATTAATAGTACTGTCAAGTGTCAACCGCAGATAATACTATGTTATATTTTAGTTATGGGTTGTAAATATACGTCAAGCTGAGCTGAGCACAAGCTTCTGATATTCGAGCTCGATCTCGAGTTTTTATCAACTCGAGTCGAGCTAAAATTTTTCTTATTTTTAGAGACAGACTCGATGTATAACGAGTTAAACTAACGCTAAATTTTAGAAATAACAAAAAAATTATTTTCAAGCCTTACCGAGTTGAACTCAGCTCAACTTGTTAAACAAATAAATTTTAAACAAGTCAAACTCTCTAACGACTTTTAATAGCCTTTTGGCTCATAAGTACAGTGTATTAGCATTCTCTAATAATTTTTTTCAATAAGAAATATTTCTTAATTTAATCAAATTTATCAATTACACCTTTTATCAATTAAGAAAAATGGTACATAACCAACGTAGTGTACAATTAGGTTGACAACACAAGTAAAAAACATCCACAAAAATAAAAAATAAAAAAATACACAAGTAAATATTTTCACTTATGTTGTCAACTTACTTGTACACTAGATTCAATATCAATATACAGATACATATCTTATGATAGTAATTGATAAAAGTCTTCGTATAAAATGGAGATAATTGCCACCTTGTAATTCGTTAGGCAAACAACACAAAACAATTTAAAAAGCCTGACTTGGGATTATAGTATTACGTACCAAGTTTTGACAATTTATTTATTTATTTGTAATATTTCTGTAGCTCTTATTAATCATGAAAGTGACAAATAAGAAGATAAACTTTTAGAAGTCTATGGCCACCCAAAGTTTCTTAATGGCGACAAACTTTGGTGGCTCATTTTTATTAACTTTCTACATGTGGAAATAATCTCCTCAGTGCGGATATTACGGATTTTAGTCAACAATACCTGGAATTCATCATGTTGCTATTTAAATTTTAACTCCTCTATGGATATTTTTGCTCGTACTTCTATTGACTAATCTCAAACCACTCTCCATCCTGTTTTTAATTTTATAATCTAATTACTCCACTTGATAAACTGAATAATAAAGCTATTGATATGGTATTGAGTGATAAGTCAAAAAATGTAATAGTGTATTTTTATATGCTTAATTTATTCGCACGTTTATATTTTTCGACTTATTTATTATTTTGGATGAATTCATTTGTTTTGATTATTTTACATGTATTTTCAACGCATTGGAGTACTTTGTGAACGTGAGCCTTGGTGGGAGTCAAACGAGCAATTATCGAGGCCCCATAATTAATTCACTATATATGCCAAAGCCCAATAATTTAATTCGGGCCAAGGAATGCAAAAAAGTGGCCCAAATTATAAAAAGGCCCAACATTGATTTCAATCCTATGGAAAACACATGCAATTTGCACCCTTTACTATCAGATATGATTTATATTACATTTGTATACCCATTATATACTTATTTATAAAATTACTAAACCAAGTAAAAAATATTACAATAATTATACCTTAGAGAGAACTGTTGCAATTAATTGGGATTATGTGCAAATGTCCAGCCACTTAAAACCCCTCCTCCACGCCATTTCATCTCTAAATTACCAAGAAAAAGAGAACACCCCTCATCTTTATCTCCTCCCCTCTAAGTCTCGATTTAAAATCAGACTTTATCTCCTCTCTATCAATTGTAAAAAAAAAAAAAATCAGAGTTCTTTCCATTTCTTTTTCTTAAAAAAAGAAATATTTCTTAGCCCTCAAAATTCCTTCAGCCGTTCGGCAGCGGTCCCGTACTTCGGCCAGCGAGCAGCAGCCCACGCAACGCCGCAGTCATTCGAACAGGAGAACCCGATCAGCAACTCTAATCATAGTCGATCCACGCCACGATCGGTTTGCCGGACTTGAGATTGAGATCCACGCCTCAAAACCTGATGAACATAGTTTCGTGTAGAATCAGAGACAGATCTATTCTGTCGGAGAGGAGAAGGGATAGGGGTTTTGTTGACGACGGTGAGAGGGTGATGTTGACGATATTCATGCCGGAATCGTAGTCGATCACCGCCACGATTGGCTTGCCGGACTTGAGATTGAGATCGATCTTCGAACTCCAGGCGAAGTACGCCGACGTGGTTGTCGTTGACGTCGTTGAACTCGAAGTCCTGGAGGTGTCTAACTCGACGACGAACACGTGGTTGGAGGATGATTTTGGATTGGAGTATATGTACAGTATATGAATCGCGTCCCCCCGAGCCTCGCAGCCACTAAGACATCCTAGCCGATGATGAATGTAAAATATACTGTTTTCAATGTTTTATTTGATGTATATTTATAGTTTATTTGAGATATATTAGTTTATGTTGTTTCATTTTTCGATATTTATATTAATGTACTTTTTTTCATTTTTATTTACAACAAGAACTCATCATTTTTATTTACAGCGAGAATTCATCATATTTACAGCAACATACACTGAAAATATACTGAAATATAATTTTTTTTTGGGTACAATATACTGAAATATAATGGTTATAAACGCAATATACTCTGAAAATAATCAATGAACGGTAAATCAAAAAAAATCAAGAAGAATTAATTTTCCATGAAAGCATTGTTTTTAGCGCGCGCGGGCAAAAAAGAAGGAGAGTTCTTTTTTTTTAGCATACAGTATATCGTTTGATTATACTGTACTGTATATGATCCGTATATGTTTAGTATATGATACGTATATGTACGTTCATGTTGTGTTGTGGTATTTGTATAGTATATGATCCGTATATGTATAGTATATGTTAAATATATATATACTCGACTGTGACTATATGTATATGTTAAATATATATATACTCGACTGTGACTATATATACTCTACAATCGTGACTATAAATTCAGGATTTGTATTAGGTATAAATTTAGAAAAAAATGGCGCAGTTATCTTGTTCCTATTTACATTCCAAAGTGAGCATGACTTCTTTTTTTTTTGGCTAAACTTCCGGAAATCATGGGCAAAAAATAAGGAATGGAGGTTGCACCAATCTGTAACTGATTTCAGGCATGAATGTAATTAATTATTATTCATTAGATATATACATAATTAATATGTTATGAATGATAATTATATAATATCTTCCCAATCGTGTGGGAAGCATAAAAATTTCCCAAATAAAATTGGCAGAGAGAGTATTTGAGGGGCTGGAGTGTACATATAACTTGAGAGATTTTTGATTGGTTGGACTCACTCTATATGTGAGCAGACTCAGCAGAGGCGTGAGTCTTCGGCAATTATTTTACGAAGAGAGATGCGGGGATTTATTTCGAAGACAGAAACTCACGCGACAGAAAAAAATAAAAATAAAAATAAAACAGGAACACACGGATTGAGAAGGAGCACTACACTCGGAGGGAGCCGCACAAGAAGTAGATTTTATTCTCTCTTTTATTTATATTTATTTTTTTAGTATGTTAGGCTAGTATTTTTATTCAATTTCAGGAGATGTTTGAATCCTAACTTTAATTTGTCTATGGATTGAAGGATTTATATTTATCGTTGATTCATGTTATCTGTGTTTAACGTTTATGAATTATGGTGTTTAATTTAGTTTGGCCGGCTACGTTGCATATTCATAGTTTAATTGCTAGAGACAAGACTTTATTCCGTAATTGTTATTGTTCTCATTTCATTAGTAGTAAACTAGGGGTCGCGCATCTCTAGGGTAGCGTGAACATAAGTTACATAGTCCGAGCTTTCGTGTCCATTGCTTAGACTGATACATTTTCTTAGGAATTAATGCTGCTAGTGTCTTAAATCTAGAGAGCTTATTCAAGGTTGTCCACTAGTTAGGTTTAGTCGAAGAGCTTATTTTGATTAAATATTTGGTAAGGGAAAATTCGGTTAACAGAGTTTGTTGTTAGCTAGGGTTGGTAATTCGTTAGCAAGTTAGAGAAAGCATCGCAATTAATTAAGGGTAGATGTCTTGGGTGATAACTGAACCGAAAACTGGACTTCTCTTATTTTATTTGATTTTTTTTTCTTTTGTTATTTTTATTTTTATAAAATCCATCCCCTTTTTTATTGCTTTATTAGTTATAATTCTCTTAATACGAGAATAGTCACAATTTAATTCCTATTTCTCGTGGGATCGACCTTTACTCGCCGCTACTGCTAGTTAGTAGAGGTTAGTTAAGGAAAACTTTTATAAATTCAAATTTGCAGCGTCGCGGTGCGCGGTCATTGAGATTGATAAAATTAGCATTGCCGGATGGAGAGTCACTTCCAAGTTCTTATTATGAGGCTAAAAAGTTTTTGCGAGATCTTGAATTAGGATATGAGTGCATTCATGCTTGTAAAAATGAGTGTGCCTTATTCTAGAATGAGAATAAGAGCGTGGAGAGTTGTTCTATTTGTGGAACATCTCAGCGGAAAGTTAACAACGACAAAGGGAAGAAGATACCAAAAAAGATTTTAAAGTATTTTCCTTTGAAACCCAGAATCCAACGCCTTTTCATGTCTAAAAAAATATCAAAGAAAATGGTGTGGCATAAAGAGAAATACATTGATGATGACTATGAGGCATCTGCGGAATCCCTTGCATGCAGCAGCGGATCCACAAATTTTCATGAGCCTGGGCAAAAAATAGTTCGAAGAAATTTTTAACCATATTGCACAAAGTACTTATATTAACAATTAAATAAATCGTTGAAATAATCGAGTGTTGAGGGGTTCCTATTTAAATTGCATTTTATTTAATGCTAATAAAATGAAATTGAGAATGAAGTCTGATTATTTAATTTTGCATTTTTATTATTATTAAATAATATACCAAAAAAATTATTAGGAAATGAACCAGGTAAATCAAATATGGTCCTTTTGCGTAATTTATGAAGATTTTAATAACTTCTGATAGTAAATGTTATTCATCTGATGAGACCGATTTGGAAGTGAGATGTATATGATAAATTCATATAGACGCAGATATTCGAATATTATCTAAAACTTCTAAATTTAAAGCTTGGTAACTTAAATCATAAATATATATTAAAAGTCAATAACATTTGTATATATTATCATTTCTTATCCTTAAATTAACCATATTTTGACAAATATAATTTGACATTCATATTTTATATGTGAATTAAAATAATTTATATATATATGATCTCTATCAATAAAAATTTAAATATTTATTAATTATAATTTAAAAACAATAAATTTACTATCAAGCTTATTATATGACATAAGTACTAAAAATGTTATTTTCGTGGAATCTGACCGGTAAGGTGTATCAATTTAAATATAAATAATAATGTTATTTTGTAAGAATTATTTAAAATTTTAAACTAAAAACTTGTATTTATATTTTTACACATATTAAATGTAAATTTTTATATAGCACAAAAAATTGAGCCTAGGCAATTGCCTAGGCTCGCCTCCATCTCGGTCCGCCACTGCTTGCATGGAAAGATTTTGATAGTGAGTTTTCTTGGTTTGCAAAATATCCTAGACATGTTCGACTTGCTTTGGCTACAGATGGTTTTAATCCATTTGGAAACTGAAGTACCACTTCTAGCATGTGGTCAGTTGGATTGAATGAAACAACCGTTCTTTATGCTATCTTTTCTTATTCCTGGGAAGAAGTTACTTGGAAAAGACATTGATGTCTACCTACACCACTGATTCAAGAGCTGAAAATATTATGGGTTGATGGTGCACAAACCTTTGATGTTCATCGTAAAGAAACTTTCAATTTACATGTTGTTGTTTTGTGAAGAATAAACGACTTTCCTGCATATGGGGATCTGTATGGGTAGAGCACAAAAGGTTACATGGCCTGTCCCACTTGGAATGAGAAGACACGTTCTTTGAGATTGCGTAATAAGTAATAAGAAATGTTACATGGGACATTGATGCTACTTACTGAAAGATCATCTTTGGAGGACAAGTAAGAAGTTTGATGGAAAAAGAGAAGACAAGGAGACACCTCAAGATTTAAGTGGGGAGGATGTGTTAATGCAGCTACGAGGATTACAAAATGTAACTCTATGAAAGCATGTCAACAAAAAAAGGAAGTGACACCCCGAGGAGTTAAATTGGACTAAACGCAACATTTTCTTTAATTTGCCTTATTGGATTAAGTTGAAACTAAGGCATAATTTAGATGTAATGCATATTTAGAAAAATATATGTGAGCATCATAGGAACCTTGATGAGTGCAGAAGGGAAAACAAAAGATACACTTAATGCCAGGCGAGAATTGGAGGACATGAAAATTCGCAAAGAGTTGCACTTGATCAGGTGATGGAAAAATGCGATGCCTGCTGCTTGTTATGGAATGAAAAAGAAAGAAAGACTTGACTTTTTTGAATTCCTAAAGTCCGTCGAGTTTCCTGATGGCTATGATTCTAACATCTCTAAGTTGTGTAAGTTCAAGTGATCAAATTATATCTGGATTAAAGAGTCATGATTGCCATATCATTTACAACGAATACTTCCTGTTGGGTTTCGTGGGTCCTTAAATAAAGAAGTATGCGAGGTATTGGCTGAATTAGGCAATTTCTTTCAACGCATATACTGTAGGAAGTTGAGAAAAACTGAATTGGAGAAAATGAGAGAAGATATTTGTTTGATATTGTGTAAACTAGAGAAGATAAATCCTCCTGCATTTTTTGACATCATGGTTCATTTTCCCATTCATTTGTCGAATAAGGTGTTGATAGGTGCCCGGTTCAATTTAGATGGATGTTTCTAATAGCTTCTTATTTTTAACTTCTTCTTGTGAATGTTTTTTATACATTTTTTTTTTTTTTGATTCTTATGCGACTTGAAGCAAGGTGTAACTAATAAAGCTCATCCAGAAAACATACATTGCAAAGGAGTCATTAACTTTTTGCTCCATGTACTTGCGGAGAATTGAGACTAGATTTAACCGAGATGATAGAAATTGTGATATAACATTTGATGATAGTCGATCAATATTTTATGCAAGATGTCGCCACTTTGGAACAACAAAACTTGTTGAGTTATTAGAGGAAGAGTTTAGCAAGGTACAGTGTTTTGTCTTTCAGAATTGTGAAGAGGTTCAACCTTATATCAAGTAAGTATAAATTATATTTTGCATATACATATAACATTATTACACTTTATTTTTTCTTAAATAACTATATTCAATGCAAGAAGCACAAACAATGGCTATTATTAGCTGGTTGTGAAAACATAAACCAAAAGCATAGAGAAAATTTCCTTCATGGTTCAGAAAACATGTAATGGCCTTGAAAATACAAAATATTTCATCATCTTATCTTTCCTCATTCTTTTCATTTTAATTAAATTTTTATTTATAGTTGATATTTTATCTTATTCATATGACTCATTCGTATCATGAGAAACCAAAAGAAGCAAATGAATCTTTGTATTCACTTTCATGTGTCCCAAGTAAATGTGTTAGAAAGTACGCTGGATGTACTATCAATGGAGCAAGATTTCTAACGAAAGGCCATGATAGTCGTCGTAATACCCAAAATATCGGTATCTCTGTGGAGGGTAACCACGGTGAAAATACAATTGAATTTTATGGTGTTGTATGTGATATAATTCAGTTTGATTATGTGAAAGATAGACATATTACCATATTCAAATATGAATGGTTTGGTGCTGGTTGCATATTATATTGAGAATCCGCTACTTTCGCTTTGGCTTCTACGTGGACTTCTGGAGAGGACTTCAACAAATATTCTATTGAGCGTGATGAGAAACGACTTACTGAATTGGGTTGGAGGATTATAGAGATATTTGTCTTAGCGCACATTTTCGGGTAATTTATTCTAATTATGAAAAGCCTCTTCATTCTGTCATAAACATTCAAAATGCTAGTTTGAGTGCTCTTTGTTAGTTCACCTTTTCTTGGGTAAAGATCCTGCATAAGATTTAGTAGAGCATCTACTAGAAGATGAGAGTATATGTTTGTCTGGAGCTCATTATTTTCGGTGGCTGTTGTAGTCATCCTGTTTAGGTGGAAGTTGTCTTTATGAAGTTTCTCTATTTTTTCATTTAAGCGTCTTTCTGCTATTGTCTGAAAATATCACGATACTTCCTAACATTTATCTTTTGTAAGCCTGATTGTACTTCTCGCCGGGGAATTTCTGTGAAGTGTGTGTGTGTTTATGTGAGAGAGAAATAGAAGTTTGGTGGGGTGGTGGTGGGGCCCGCATAATGATGTGAATAAATATGGGTAATTACCAACTTGTCCTTTTATGAAATTGTCACCACATATTTAACATCAATATTTTAACTTTTACTTAATCTTTACCATTGATATGTTGAATCCACTGATACATATTTATTCTTATTTCTTTCACTATCTATTATTCTCAACTCTATATATATATCATCTCAAAAATAGTATATATAGATTTGTTTTTTCTTCAAATATTAGTCAACGGATCTTTACTTTTTTTAATTTTTGATCTTCGCTTTTTGAAAAATAAGTAACCTTAATCTAACCATTTTTAGTAAGAATAGTTACTACCTTAACTATTTATGGTTATAAAAAGGGAAGAAAAGGAAAAAAAAAAAAAAAAANTTTTGTAGTTCTTTTTTTTTTTTATGATTAGGAGCCTCTTGTACAGAAGGATATGAACTACGTCCTGGTATCCATTTTATGTACTTTCCGCATTTCATTGGCAATTTCGAGTGATGATAAAAGGTATATAATAGAACCGATCGAGCCGCTTCTATAGAGTATTTCTGTATAATTGAAAACCAATTGCGAGGGCGAGCCAAAAAAATAGAGGACACCCAAAATAAAAAATTCAAAACGCTAATTTCCCAATAGAAGTAATATCACTTCACTTAGGCCAATTTTCAGTCCCTTTAATGTTATTTGAAAATTAGTATATAAGTGTTGAAATTGTGAGTTGTCTCACATTCATTCTACAAGGTAAATGATTACTAGTGGGTTACTCATCCCATCACCAATTGGTTTTGAGATAGAACCTCACTAAGATGCATCTAGGTTCACCCTCTTATAGTGCGCTTCTCCTGGCGGGACCGCACCCTCTTCTCCGGTTCTATTATGGTATCAGAGCGGGCCTGTCCTAAGACTTGCAATGACTCTCTCTACCCGACCTGCTCTAGGCTTGGGCTTTATATCTCTAACTAGCATGCTCTGGGCTTGGGATTACGAAAGAATCATAAGTGAGGGGGCGTGTTGAAATATCACTTGTGAGTTATCCCACATTGATTCTACAGGATAAATGAGCCTAGTTTATAAGCTAGTGGGCTACTCCTCCCATCACCAATTGATTTTGGTATAGAACCTCACTAAGTTGCATCTAAGCTCATCCTCTTATAGTGTGCTTCACCTGGTGGGACCACCATCTTCCCCGGTTCTATTAATAAGGCAAGCATTTCCAACATTAATCATCAAAATGAATCTTCGGTTCTATTAATAAGGCCAGCATTTCCAACATTAATCATCAAAATGAATCTTTTAACTGAATTTCAAAAATTAGTTATTATTTTCTATTCGGATTAAATTTAGTCATCTAATAAAGGAATGTGGTTTCATAATAAAACTAAATTAGATTTCGTAAGCATCAACGTGTGAAACAACANCTCTAAAAAAAAAAAAAAAAGAGAAAAAAAAAATGACAAGCATCCTTTAAACCAGAACATCTAAAGTGTTTATTGCAATCGATAAACAATTAATGCTGCAAACAATGATTTAGCTAAAATCATGTGTTGCTTATGGAAAAGAATCAAAGCTTCAAAACATCTCAAGTGAATAGAAGGAAGCTGATGATCAATTCATAGCAAGTGTCAAAAATGCACATTGTTGATAGAATGTGGTTACATAATGCCATCTAATCAAAGCTAACAAAACTATTACCAGGTTAGTCGATCATTAGATAAATAAATAAAAACATTGAACTTGAATTTGGACAATTAAAAAAGCATTATTTCTATATTATCAAGAGCTGACACTACATATCATTCAATATAAAATATTCTGATTATATATTCTTGAGTACTAATTAAGATATTATTCACTTCATAGTACTGCAGTTTTATCACACTCTATACTTCTGCATAAGTTTTTTTCATTAAACCTGTTTCATAAAATCGTTATAAGACATACATGACCATGTCATAATACCAGAAAATTAACCAATTGAACTAAATAAGGGTACAAATAAGGCGAAATTTAATATATTCACCTACTGATATGGCAAGAGATCATTATATGATATACAATAATTATGTTGTTGAAAGATCATAACATTTTGATGTAGGTGGTTAAACTTACATTATTATTAGCTTAAAAAGATATCATCGACCTATTTATATGCAATCCTTATAACCTTTCGAATTTATAGCTGGTGATACAAGCATTGCTCCTTGCGAAAACCGGAATCTTTCTATGAAAATACAAGGACCGCGCTCACGGTTATGTAAGAAAATGAAACTAATATAATAGCCTTTATGACTCGAAAAAAAGAAAAGTAATCGAAAAATATAAAACAAATTATTAAAAAAAAAAGAGAGAAAAAATCACTAAAGACTTCTAGTTGATGTAGTTTGGCTTTTCATGCATCATACTTTCCACTCTACTAGCTGTCTTTTGGTTGTCACTTAATTCGAATTTAAGTCGATTTCTGTCGTTATCGACCTAACTCCTACTCTCGATCGGTGCCTTTTTGGTAGCCTTTTTTTTCCCGTAAACCGTATAATACACAATAAATACGATGAAAAGAGTACGAATGTCTATATAAAAGGGTGAAGAGAAACAACTACTGCACACATACACAAGAAAGCTAAAGAGAGAAAGAAAAGAGAATTCAAGATAGAGTATTCCTTATCAAGCAGAGATGGCAATTGATTTGAAGCAAGTTATGGCAGCATTTTTAACTTTCTCAATGTTTGTTATGCTTGGCAATATGATAAAAAAGGACCATATAGATCCTCTCTGGGTAAATATTTACTTCTTACTATACGAAAATTTTTATACTTTGGTTATATATAATTTCGTGTCTAACTACATGCGGATCGCTGTTGTGAGTTTATGCATTTATTGGTTAATCAATATCTTTTTACCATAATTATTGTCAAACCTTAGTTAAGAAATGTGTAACAAGGTGGACTCATCTGAAAGTTTAATGAATAATGAAGAACAATACATGGTAGAGCATAATTATATGATAAATTAACTGTCCTCGAGTCAATTTATTCTTACACCATTTTTCACACAACTCCAAGATTGGAAGCAGAGGAAGAACAGAGCTATATAGTCTTATTTCCTTCGTTTTATTTTTAGTTTCTTTAAGTTTCACTTTCTTATTTTATTTTTTTTTCGATTTATGGCATTAATCATACTTCAATATCATATTTTATCGCTCTTTCTTTTCTAATTAGCTCGACTACATGCGTAAAAAGTCTTGAAGATGAGTATAATAATATCATATCTTGAATAGCATTCAGATCAGACTCAACATTAGCTTACAAAATGTGCAATTGTTTTCTTTTTACGTAATTTTTGTATAATAACTATCATGTCCTTATTCTCTTAGCTGTGAGAACAATAAAAGTGCTACACATTATTATTCTATTCCTATTAAACATAATTGTTCATTTATCAAAAATCTATTATAGGAATCACTTCCCCAAGCTCCGCTCGTTAAGCCTGGCAATGTACAGAAAATTTCAAAACCGACCGTTTTCCAATTGTCGGAAGCCAAATACGGTCCTTGGCAGGAACAAGACGAACCTGTTCAAACCTGTTGGAAAAAGCCTACTCTCAGTAAATATTTC